ATGAAATTCCTAAATATGAAAAAATTTAAGCTTCTCACCTATTAAGTATACTCTAACGATAAATTTGAACCTCAAAGATCTAATTTACTTGCCTAGTAGAAAAATATATTTCCACAATTCGGCTTCGATAAGAATAGTTAAATGCAAGTTAAATAGAAAAATATTTTCAGACGAAATAGATCCCAAAGATATCAAGTAAAAAAACTCTCAGGTTTAATGTGTACACTGACATTACAAAGGGAGACTATGGGACTATCAAAGCACCTCTTGACAAATAGTTACTATTAAATAACATTCTTCTTCTTTTAGTTCCATGACCGTTATCGATCGTTGGATATCATGTTGGCTACCATATTCGCTATCGTGACTTTATTGACAGCAGCTCTAAATAACGATGTAGTTGATTTTCCATATCATTGCCTTAGATTTTTCAGCCATGATGTTCTTCTTCTACCAGGACCACGATTACCTTGGATCTTTCCATGAATGATCAGATGTAAAAGATCATATTTTTCAGGGTGTTTCATAATGTGACCGAAGTATTCCATCTTGCGTTTTTTTATTACATTGACCAGTTGTGTTGTTTGGTTTAGCCTTCTAAGGACCTCTTCATTTCTAACTCTGTCGACCCAGCTTATTTTCAGTAGTCGTCTATATACCCACATCTCAAAGACTGTCAAGCGTTTAAGGATAGCCTCAGTCCACGCTTCCACTCCATACAGCAGGACAGGAAAGATGTAGCAAGATGTCATTAGAACTCTAAGGTCAATGCTAAGATCGTGACTGCAAAGTACGTTTCTCATTTCTACAAAGGCAGCGGAAAATAACATTACAGTTGATTATTATAAAAAAAATTAATTTCTTAAGGAGGTTATTGCTTTTGAAAAGGTTCTTCTTCTTCTTTTTATATAGACATGACTCTGTTTGTTTTTCAATGTGCCTCCAGTAAGTTGTCGTTCTTACGAAAACGACCACGAAAACGATGGTCTTCCTACTGATCGTCTTTCTATTGGGAACCGTCTCTTGCCGTCTTTACTACTCTATTGGTTTTCATTCGGCTTATATGATTGTTCCATTCTACTATTCTATTTCTTACCCAGTTCTTGATGTTCTCCAAGTGTTTTCATCTCTGCTGTTTCTAACATCCTTTCTGTTCTCGCTGTATCAGGTCTTGTTTCTGCTGCATATGTCATTATTGGTCGGATGACTGTTTTGTAAATTCTGTCTTTCGTTTCTTTCCCGATATTTTTATTTCTCATATTGCTTCATTTAGGCAGCCTGCGGCTCTGTTTGCTCTATTCACTTGATCTTCCACTTCGGTTTCGAACTTTCCGGAGCTAGATAATGTGATGCCTAGATATTTCAGCTCCAATTTACATCTTAGGAAATTTGCTGTTGTCATGCATTTTGTCTTTTTTGGGAAAATTAACATTGTTAAATTTTCTGGCGGTTAGTATTTTCTGGCGAGAGTAGTATTGTGTCGCCTGGATAGCAGATTATTTTGTTTTTCTCCCATTTGGTATCCTTTTTCAGTTCTTATTTTTTTTATTATTTTATCCATAATCTGGTTGAACAATAGAGGACTCAATGAATCTCCCTGTTTTACCCTATTGCCAGCTTCAATAGGGTCGGTTAGTTCTTCTTCTACTTTTACTATAATTGTGTTGTTTTGGTAGATATTTTCGATTATTTTGATTATTCCTAGAGGTATCTGTCTTGCGTACAGTAAGTGGATAACGTTTTTTAATTTGACTCGGTCAAATGCCTCTGTAAGGTCCACGAAACAAAGATATGCCGGTTTGTTGTATTCTAATGATTTTTCTTGCACTTTGTAATCACTTTGGTTGTTAATTTTAGTGTTGTGTTTAATAAATCAATTCCTCTGTAATTTTCCGGGTCCGATTTGTCTCCCTTTTTGAAGAGAGGTATTAGGATGCTTGATATCCATTCTTGAGGAATTTCGTTTTGTTCTATTACTTCTTGGATTAGTTTTAATAGTTGTTTGGTTAGATCTGGTCCCCTGTACTTTAGGAGTTTGTTCGGTATTCTGTCCTCTCCTAGTGATTTTCTATTTTTAATTTCCTTAATGCTTCCTTTACCTCTTCTTCCTCAATATTTATTTCTTCGTTTGTCGTCACCTCTGGTGTTGGCGGGTCATTATCGTCACCTTTAGCAAATAGGGATCGAAAGTAGTCTACCCATGTTTCCTTCTGAATGTGTTTCGTTTGTATTAGTTTGTTCATCTCTTTGCTTTGTCATCTGATCATTCTCCATTTTTCTTTTTGTGTTCCGTAGAAGTCGTGTTCCATCTGTTTTGAGAAACTCTGCCAGTGTTCCTTTTTATTTGATTCCTATTTTATTTTTCTGATTCATTTATAGTGGTTGTATGCCTGTTGTGTTTGTTGTGTTCTGTATTGTGAAAAGGCTTTCTTCTTTTCAACACATTTTGTCTTCACTTCCTCGTTAAACAATCGTGTTTTCTTTTTTGATATGTTAGTGTTCGTTACTTTCTTCTCTCCAAGTGATTCTGTTGCTGCGTTAATTGTTATTTTTGAGTTTTTCCCAGATTTCCTCGATGTTATCGTTTTCTAATATTTCGTTCCCAGCGATCTTCTCTGATATTCTTTTCCTGTATAAGTATTCCGTGGATTCCGCATTTAGTCCTTCGACTTCAATTTTTGTTTGTGCTGGTGCCGCTCTTTAGGGTGCGAAGTATTTTAGGATTAATATTATTTTACATATTACTAGGCTGTGGTCGCTACCTACATCTGCTGAGTTGAGGCATCTTACGTCGATTATTTTTTGATAGGTTTATATCTCTGTTGGTTATAACATAATCTATTAGATCAGATACCACAAAAAATTATTATTATACAAACAAATAAAAAAACGAAATTAGTAAGATCCTATAGCCGGTTTATTATCCCTAAATGGTCTCTTGAATGGCACAGCAGTGCAGGAACTGTCAACTTAACTCCAGTTCTTGGTGAACCAAACCAAACCAATTCTTGGTAAGAAAAAAAAAGACCTAACCTAACCAAACCCCAACTTAAATTGTTATTTGTTCCTAATAATAACACCCCGTGTGAATGCTGATATGGCTTCTTTTTCAAAGAGCGAAGGTGGTAGGTAGCATGCCCTGGTATCTCTTATGGGAGTGACAGTCCTCTGAAATTTGTATTTCCTAAGGACACCAGAGGGCGTAGCATGCGCAACAAAGCTTTGTAACTGTGCAATACCATACCGCAACCCGCAACCAACAAAACAAGTACGCCATTTTTGTTGTGGTTTCGACACAGTGTTTCGAGTTGTATTATTTGCGATTAAATAATTGTTTGCTTTTTTGCCATCATATTTAAATAATTATGATTTTTAACTGTGAACATTTTCATCAACAATATGCTCATTTATGTGAACACACGGCCTATCAATGTATGTAACATTATTTCTTTCATCATATAATTTTATTATGAAATGTGACACCAAAGTTAGTCCACCAGGTAACATCAACCGAATTTGATACAGACTGTATCATGAATATGATTAATTAATATTATGAATGTAATTAATGTTTATAAAAAAAATAAAGTAGAAAAAGAATCAACGTTTGTTTTATTTTTGTAATCAAACCCTCAAAATTAATCTTTATATTTGAAAAATTACGAGATTTTTTAAAAAGATGTTGCTTTCCTAAGGCCGCCAGATGGCGCATTGTCCAGAAATAACCTACACAGTTTCCTATACATCCGGTAATATATATTCTTTATCTATGGTAGGTAGCGGGCAATTATGGATCAAACGCCGATAAAATAACTAAAATAATAATTCTCTCCCTTTTAAATAAACAAAATAACTTTGTCCTCCTTAACTTAAACCATTTTTTCTTCAAACTTAAAACATATTCTTAACCCTTAACTAAATCACCTTAATTTAATTGCCCGCACCTTTTCTAAAAATGAGAACACCGCTGTATGTCAAATCTCACACGTCGCGTCAAATCAAAGCCATACTTTTGACAAGGACTACCAACTAAAGAATTTTCAGTTACGTACTCGGTAGGTAATAGGAATTGCCCATCTCTTGGTAATGATAAAGATTGAGAGTAGCGTTGAAATTCAAAATTTTTTATTCTTCGAGGTATTCACCTATAGGATGCATCAAAATCTCGATTCTAAGCCCAATGCGCCAAAAAAACTGTTAGGCCTTTGCAACAATTATTGGATCTGATATGAGTGTATCCGTGTTACGAACTTTTGGCTATCCATTTTACCAACACCTAATTTCTAGTAAGACGAGGTTTTCATTGTTTTCCTTTTCTCGAAAATGAAACAAATTCGCCTTTTTGTGTTAAAACGTGTTGCACTGTAGACTCGCCGATACTGTACTGAAGGCATATAATTTTACGGGAGGCACAGTTTTTAATTTTATATTTATACTATTTATACTGCGAACTAGGGCTAAGTCACAACTGGCTGGCAGTCAAAGTTAAGGTCTTTGTTTCACCAAACAGATGACAAATATAACATTCTAAGTCTAACAAAAAAATAATTGAATTAGTCATCCAAAGTCACCTATCCTAACTGGTCAAAAATAGCCGAAATCACGTGTCAATCATAAATTCTCGGAATGTGTCGTGGTCTCGAGACCTTTGTTTTACTTGGTCACTTAATCACTTTACACTATAACAGTAGAATATACTCCTGCTTACAACATTAAAATTATACATTAGATCTAGTTTATACAATAGGTTTTGGTTCACATTAACAATTGTTTGTGTATAAAAAATATACCTCGGCGAGGTATACATACTTCGATAAGTATTTTCATAAACTACGTTTCCATAAAATCTTCAGATACCTGACGTGCATTTTTTCTTCTTTTTTGCTAGACAAATTTTTACTACTCTACAAACAATTCCTACATTTATTCCGGTATATAAACCATAATCGTCAACAATTCAGAAAACCAAACGACAAGTTGTATAGAATTTTATTACTTACTTGCAACATGAGGGCATGTGGTGTATGTACGAAGTAGGATATATTTCCCCTGGGGGCCGATTGTAGACAGAGCTGAGTGTCAGTTGCCACAGGGTTGTACATGAAGACGATCGCACTTGACAGCTTCCCGTCATATAAAACCTGTATATAAATTATTACATTAGAAAATAATTCTGAAATGCACTTTTCGTACGAGGAGAAGCCGTTACAATACACTTATGAAATAATATGTTCGTTGTGTATTTCAGTAAAGATAATACGGGGGTAGGTAAGCCCGTACATTTTTAGAAAAAAAGTATACCTGTAACAAGTACTTTGTAAAAATACTATATAATCAAATATATGTTGTAGTGTAATACCAAAAGTTTAAGCTTTAAGAGAGTTGTCATATTATTAAAATCTCTAAGTAATACTTCAAGAGCACTGCTTATAAGGTACTAAAGTAGAAGGCAAAATTACTCAAATCCTGCGCTAAATAAGCTCCCGGACAACAAGTACAAAATTCAACTAACCCAGAACCTAAAAGTAAAGGGACAAATCATAGACAGGGACGTGTGTTCACGTGTGAAGAGAGTTCAACTTCGAAAAAGTCACTGTTTGGTGTGGATTTTGGGTCTCTTAGATACATATTTAAGTTTTACAAGGTCATCCTGATGATTTGGAAACCACGAAATAAGTAAAGAAGCGTGGCGAGACTCGAATTGAAAAAAAAAATGTTACTGTCCATATATACAGTGCATAGTGCGTGGAAGTCCAATTACTCATTTATCGTAAGAGGTACGAAAAAAAATTCTTCAGTGCCTTATCCGGTCCGGATGTTGGCGATCATCAAGGCTATCATGGTTTTCTCATGCACTGTAGGACCTCAACGTTGGTGACATGGTCCACATACGATATTTATAGTATCCTCCTGTAGATCCACATCTCGAAGGCTTCAATCCGCTTTTCTTTGGCTTGCGTCAGCGACCAGGCTTCAACTCCATATAGTAACACTGGAAGAATGTAGCACCTCCATATCCGCATGTTGATTCCCAAACTGAGATCACTTCAGCACAGCAAGGATCCCAACTTAATAAATGTAGACTATGCCATTTCAATTCTGGATCTACTCTCTTAAGCGTAGTCCCATTGTGAGTTGAGGGTAGTTCCGAGGTAAGTGAATCTGTCGACTCTCTGGATCTCTTCGCTACCTGCCATTAGTGCCCCGGGATGTAAATTTGCACGGCTGACAACCATACATTTAGTTTATGGTCTTAATATCAAGGTCTAGTCCGTATGTTACGCTCACAGTTCTCACTCGGTCTAGTAAGTCTTGTGGATCATTTAGGCTGGTTGCTAGTAATACTGTCATCGGCGTAGCGGACATTATTGATGTATTTACCGTTCACTCAGATTTCCATCAGAGTGATGGGACCACAGAGGAGTAACAATAGACGGTAAAAAGCTTAACCATCTCCGTTTTGCAGATGACATTGTCCTTATCACAGATAATTTAGGAGAAGTCACAGATATGTTAAATGAATTAGACTTTGCATGGTCAAAGACGAGCCTCAGAATGAACTTGTCCAAAACTAAGTTTATGACAAATCTGGTCCCCAATAACCATTAAACTATTGGTGGAGAAATATACGTGTTTGGATCACGAAATAAGAATCAGCAGGGATAACCAAACATGCGAAATCCAAAGACGAATTACTTTAGTGTGGGCAGCCTTTGGAAAAATGCGAGACACACTTAGGGCCAACATACCAATTAGCCTCAAAGGAAAAGTATTTGACCAATGCCCATACCGATCATGACCTATGGGGCGGAAACTATGACTCTAACCAAGACTACGGCTTCGAAATTGAGAGTGGCACAGAGACGAATGGAACTAACTATGATGGGAGTGACATTGCGGGACCGAATAAGAAACGAAGGGTATATATAAAGTAATTACTATTTAAATGGGAATAAGCCACAATTAAAGGTTAGTCAATTTACTAATGTTTGTTTTTTGAGAACGATTTCCGAAGTGGAAATTGAAATGTCACTAAACTTACTTTAACCTTTAATTGTGGCTTATTCCCATTTAAATAGTAATTACCTTAAAATACCACAAGAAAATAGCTTAAGAACAATATTAGGGTATATGTATATAATGTTTAAGACCGACAGACCTATGTATATGTAAATTAAATATGGATCTTCCAAAAAGAAAAAGGAAATAGTTCGATAGGAAAGAGAAACAGTAAACGGAGTTTTTTGAATTATTAGAGAAAGAAAGGTATATAGATTAATGACAAAGAGATTAAGTAAGATCATTGGTACATTTAACCAGTAGTTTCATTCGAATTTCTCTGATTTATCTTTATTTGTCTTCCTTATAATAGAAATACTATATCCTTAATATTATGAAATAACTGCTAAGCCTAATAAATTTATAGCAAAACCAATCAATCTAGTTTAATAACACAATGCAAAAAAAAGAGTCGTAATAAATAATTTTTATATATAGAAAAATTTAAATCTGTAAACGTTTTCAGAAAATTTATTTAGTGACCATAACTGGTTTGGTGTCATTCCAGTTTTATCAAGTAGATTGTTTCGACCAAGAGTTTGCTAGATGCATAATCTAGTGTACAGATGTTTGAAATGATTCTTTAGACGTTCTATTATTCTAGACGAACTATCGGATACAGTTAAGATCATTATTTGGTGTAAGTTGGTCATGAAGATTTTGTACAACGTCCTGAGTGAGTGGAAACTTATTTAAATGTATTATTTCTATTCAATATTTGAAACAAAAACGTGTCTTGGGTCTTAGTGTCTTCTCCTTGTTTTTATCCGTATGCGCGGTTGACTTATGCTCCTGCTCTTTCTAGCAAACGTCTTTAAAGCAGGTAACTTATAAATATCGATGCCATAATACAAACGTGATTGGTCCAAAATCTTCAAATGTTAAATGTGTTACAGTGATTATCAAAGAAATTATAAAAACAAAAATATATTCCAACTGATATGTCAGTGCATAAATTAAAAAAAAAATCATCGGGACACCACTGCTCTAAGGGAAAAACCATTATTGGTAGATTTTTCTTACGAGGCATGGTGCCCCAATGAAATTTTATTTGTTGTACTGATATGTAAGTTGAAACATATTTTTTAAGTAAATACATCATAACGCTCGGTACCATGTTTTTGCCTGAAACCCGAAATGATATTTACCGTGACGCGAAATACGAGACACGTGCAGTAACCTTGTAGTATACAGTAATATGCATAATACTCGTATACACTTATTATAAAAATAAAATGACTTTGATAAAATGAAAGGCAGATATCGAGCACAGTTTTATTAATTAAATCTTGCTCAAGTACTTCCGCTTCTTAGAGCATCTTCGGGGACATCTGAAATAAGCCAAGAAACGTTTTTTTTAAATGAAGAAGTGATGACCAAAACTTATTATCCAGTGAACACAATTTTAACATCAATACTGGTTCGTCTATTTTACATGACATTCTTCTTCTTACGGTGCCTTATCCTTAAGGCCGTTGGCCATTACATTTGCCCATTTAATCTTATTTGTAGCAGCCCTGATTAGTTCTATGGAGGTCATGTTCTTCCATTGCCGTAGGTTTTTAAGCCAAGAGTTGCGTCTTCTTCCTGGTCCTCTTTTGCCATTGACTTTGCCTTCGATTATAAGTTGGAGCAGTTCATACTTTTGAATTCTTATGATGTGATCAAAATATTGTGTTTTCCGTTCTTTTATTATAAGCATAAGCTCTCTTTCCTTATTCATCCTCCGCAAGACTTCTGCATTTGTCGTATGTCAGGATATTCTGAGCATTTTACGGTAACACCAGAGTTCGAATGCTTGGATTCTTTTTTGTGTTGCTTCTGTCATTGTCCAGGCTTCAACACCATAAAGCAAAGTGGAGAAAACATAGCACTTAAGTATTCTATTTCTCAATGAGATGCCCAGCTAGCGGTTGCATAGACCTTTTTGCATTTTGTAAAACATTGTACGTGCCTTTTCCAAGCGTATTCTTATCTCTAGTGAGTGGTCCCAAGTTTCATCGAGATTACTTCCAAGGTACGTTGTTCTTGTTACTCTTTCCAGATCTGTTCCGTCGACATTGACCTTCACCCTTCTGTTTTGGTGCTAGCTGATGACCATCGTTTTTGTCTTCTTTGTATTCAATTTCATTCCAAATTCTCTACAGGCTATCGTTACTCAGTCCATTAAGCGTTGCAGGGCTTCAGCATTATCTGCCAGTATGACAGTGTCATCAGCATATCGCAGGTTATTTATACATTGCCCGTTTATAATTATACCATCCGAGGTGCCTTCCACAGCTTTCTGAAATATCTTTTCAGAGTAAACATTGAACAGCAAAGGTGATAGGACACATCCCTGTCTTACTCCCTTCTCGATATTGATTTTTCCAGATGTTTCGCTTTTTATTCTGATTTTAGCCTTTTGTTCTTGGTAGAGGTTTGAAATGATCCTTAAGTATTTATCGTCGATATTACATGACCTTAAAATATCTATTAGTTTATCATGTTTCACCAGGTCAAACGCCTTCTGAAAGTCTATAAAACATAAGTATACATCAGAATCGACATCTCTACATCTTTCAATTAGCACACGTATTGAAAAAGTGCTTCTCTTGTTCCGAACCCATTCTTAAAACCAAACTGAGTTTGACCAGTGTGTTCGTCTAGTTTATTGTATACTCTATTGTGTATTACTCGTAGGAAAAGCTTCAACATATGATTCATCAGGCTAATAATCCTATGGTCTTCACATTTCTTGGAGTTTCTCTTCTTTGGTAGTGGTATAAACACCGATGTCAGCCAATCATTTGGTATTATGCCTGTTTCGTATATTTTGTTAAATATATCTTCCATTACTTCGATGTGTTCGTCTAGTAATATCTTTATTATTTTAATTGGGATATTATCTTTCCCAACAGCTTTTCCGTTCTTTATCTGATTTGCCGTTTTGATAATTTCTTGCTTTGTGATATAAGGTCCAGTCGATGCCTCCTGCATGTAAATGTTCCTCCTCTCTCGGTCTTGAAACATCTCTTCCACGTATTCTCTTCATCTACCTATTTGATCTTCTATGTTCAGTAGCGGGTTCACATGTTTATCT